TTTTTTTTTTTTTTTTGGTACCAGGGATCAAACTCAGGACCTTGCGCTTGTGAGGCAGGCAGTGGAACCACTGAACTAAATCCCCAGCCCTAACTCTTTCTTCTTTTAATTATCCAACTTTACTCCAGAACATCTCTCAGCTTTATGATTATTAACATCTGTGGACTGGGAGCCATGTCAAATATTTGAGATTTCCCAATTCATGGACTTTGGTCAAGAAAAGTTTGCAGTTCTTTTCAGAAAGACTTTGAAATGAGAATTGAATACTTTTTTAGTTTTTCTCTCCGGTACTTATGCACAAAAGTTTACCTCAATGATTTTTTTTTAGTCATTAGCAATGCATTTACTCTTATCTTGTTCATGTGTATTATAAAATCCTACATTTACTATGAATACAGCAGGGGAAAGGAATTTGTTCATAATTATTCATTTGTCCACCCTGGGTGTTCTTCCAAGACAGACTATGGATTGCTTAGCTCTATTAGGGAAAAAAGAGGAAAAAAATCTGCTCCACTATGTTCTGCCTGCTTAGGCTAAATTTGGCAAATTCACAGATGTGTTAAACATTAATGGGAAAAAAGAGATTTCTCACACAAATTTAACTGCTTTTTTGGTTTGTTTGTTTTTTTTTCTCTTTTTTTGCTCTTTCCTCCATCTTGGTCTCATGATGTCCAATTGACTAGTACCATTTTCCTTATCTACCATTTCCCCTCTTCCTGGAGTTGAAAGGCCAAATGAACAAACATAGGGTTTGTGTTATTCCAACCAATCACAGAACAGTTATTTCCCTGCAGAATGACTGGCTTAATGAAAAAAGAACACAGAAAACAAAACAAGTCTATCATGTGCAGCTTTGCTTGACTTTTTCAAAAACCACCGCTTTTCAGAAACCAATCTGAGTAAGAACTGTTAGGAGTAGCCACCAAGTTAAGGACTAAATGAAGAAGCAGCAAAAAGTTTAAATTGTTACACTAGACAAAAAGAACTGTGGTTTGACTTTTTCCTGAGTATTTATTCTACTTTCCTGACAGTAAGTAAAGCTTTGATTTTTTTGTATTATGTCAAATATATGGATACTAAAATCAATCTTATTTTTCAGAAGTTTCCAAATACTTATATGTTTTATGTTGTTTACTTAGTGGCTAAATTTTTGTATTTTTTCCTATCCAATATTTATTGTTTAGATATACAGTAAAAGAAAACTAGTAAACTTTGTTTCTGTATTAGTTGAGGGGGAATTTTCTGAATATTTCAATTTGCAAATTTGTGAAAATAATTAACTTGACATATTATAAAAACTGAACAATGGTTTCTGTTTATTTGAAACCATTTAGGCATAAAATATTTTCTCCTGTAATTTTCTTCTTGTTCTTTAAAAAAACTGTTTTGTAGTTTGTTTCTTGAGTTATTCAGGGACTTCTGAATTCAGGAAAACTGAGAGAAACTGTTTTAGCTTCCTGTGGCTCAGAATCAAGTTTCAAGTAATTTGAGCCTGGATTGTTATTCCACATTCTAATTCATTTCTTAAAAGTTGTTTACTTCACTCTGAAGGTAAATACTATAAAAACATTTTCTTGGGGTTATATCTGATGAGCATAATTTGACATTCAGATAAATGAAATAGAATTTTGATGTTAACTTGATTAGCTCTGAGATTCCTATTAAAATACAAGAAACAAGAAATGACTACTAATAGGATAAGATATAATTTAATTATTCTCTCCACATTGTTGAATTCTGATAAGAGGTAAAAACATGTGAGATTATCTTCCAGATTATGAACTCTAATGGTAGTTCTTCCATTGTACTACTCTGTTATTATACAAGTGTGATAGTAATTATTCTAATTCCCCACCAAAACTCACTTTACCAGATAGCTTAAAGTGAATATATGAATATTTGAGGTGAAACTTTAGTCATGGATTATTGCAATAGTATTTTAAACTGTTTTAACAAGTAATAATGAAAAGTAAAATCAAGATTTCTTTCTAATACTTATTTTTCTGCTTTACTTTCTCTTTGTTCATTTAATGGACAGGTGAAATGAGCATAAAACAAATAAATGTATATCACCAAACTCAAGCACTTCTGTGCAAGAATTTTCTTAAGAAATGGAGAATGAAAAGAGAGAGCTTATTGGTATGACTGAAGGTTTGCCTCTGTCTACACCTAGAACTCTTATTTTATTGCCTAGTGATTTCAAATGTTATATTTTAATTACCAGATTGTATTTACTGATTTTGAGGTTTTTCTCTAGTTGCATTTGTTTAATTGAGAGACTTAAAATAGTCCCTGAACAATAATAAAAAATTATAAAGAATTCAAATTTTATGCATATTTAAAGAGATTAAATTAAAATTTAATTGTATGGTAAATTATGGCAAACTGTTAAAGCTACCACATATTATACAGTTACAACCAAGAAATAGTAAAAATTTTGCCTAATATAAATTGAGAACTTTGAATTTTGTGTTCTTATATTAAAGGCTATTAATTTTCTGTATAAAGATTACTCCCAGGAATTATGACAAACCAACCCAACTGTTGGTTTGCATTAAGCAAATGGTGGGCTAGTGACAGATAACTAGCCCAGAACTCCGTGGCTTCACAGAATGAAATCCATAGACTAAAGTTTGGTAATAGAGAAGTGGGTTGGATGAGTGGAGGCATCTTCTCTAGTCATTCAGGGACCAAAACTTCTTCATCTAGGAACTCTGCTATCTCCCTAGATCCTGGACATGTCCATGGAATCCTCTGAATCAAATCAGTAGATCAGGAAAAAGATGAATTGAGACAGAAATAGTATAGAAGATTATGCTAAGGTTCATTAGCCAGTCCTGAAAGGGTCACATATGACTTCTGTCAACATCCCATTGGCTAGAACTCAATCATTTAGTCCCACTTCATTTTGGGAGGCTGGGGACACACTCTAGCATTGTGTCAAGAAGGAAGAGATTGTCGATATTGGAAATCTGCAGATAGTCTCTACCACTCAGGGCACTGGTAGCACTGAGCTACATCTTCAATTTCTTTTAAAAAAAATTTTTAAATAGAATCTCAAGACAGGGTTTCACTAAGTTGCCCAGGTGGGCCTTCAACTTGTGTTCTTCCTCTCTCAGCCTCCCCAGTAGCTGGGATTATAGGCATGTGCAGTTTCTAACACAATGATATGACAATTGACAAAAAAATTTCTATATGCTACTCTGAATGCTATCTGGGAAACTCTGTGCCTTATAAACTCTAGAATTTGCTGCCCAGAAATATGGAGATTATTATCCTATTAGACATTCTGTTAGGTTTTGTTTTGTTTTGTTTTTGGCACCGGGGATCTAACTCAGGACTTTGCGCTTGGAGGCAGGAGGCAGAACCACTAAGCTAAATCCCTGGCTCCCATCCTGTTAGTTTTTACATAACCTCCTTCCCTGAAAATAAGATCTACCCCAGCAGGTCTTATTTTGGGGGGAAAATGGACTTCTGAAGTGCTCCATGTTTTAATGAAAAAATTGACTGGTAGCACCCTTCCAAAAAAGATGCACCTCGTGAATCAGTATTATCTTTCATTGGATTCTCCTTAGTTTGAAGAGTACATGGTCAAATTGGAATTTGTCCTCAACAGTTCATTAATATTGACTGACTTTAAGGGGAAATTATCTAAATTTGTTTTTTTCTCTCTTTTTTACAATGTTTTATAGGAATGGGGCCTTCCAATACTTCTAGGACTGTATATAGGCCTGTTTTCATATTTGGGAGAAAATAACCAGTTTCCTGAAATGCCTCCTCAAGATCTTGGGAGAGTAGATAAATTTAATATCTCTTCGGTAATGATTGTATACACACCAATCTCTAACATAACCCAGCAGATAATGAATAAAACAAAATTTGTTCCCTTTATGAAAGGTAGGTGTACTAAAGACAAGAAAGAATTACTTATACTAGTTTTTAAAATAAGATTTATTAATTTGAAGTCACAGTGATGCTAAATAATTATCAAGATAGCCCACAAGTTGTTTAGGTCACAGCAGTTATCCTTCTGAATCCTTTCAGCTTGATGGAGATTCAGTTTAGGAAGGTCCACATTTCTGCTGGGTATAAATATTTACAGAATAGTGACCAGAAGGAATATATCCACTGGTGGGTCGGTATGTCTTTAATATGGAAATGCAACAATTATGATTTATAGCTCAAGAAAAGAATCTAAATAAAAGATTGGTCATGGTTATTGGGCCATAATTGTGGAGAGTAAAATGGATCACTGAAAATTATTCTTTTCTGCATGCAGCATCATTTGTAAACATTTTTAAAAGTCTTCATTCTAAATTAGGTCAGGAAACTAGAATTAATATTTCATTCTTTGGTGAGTGGAGTGTAATCTGGCTACTTATTGTTTAATATTGAATTTCTAACAAATGAGATTTCTGGCTGTTAGAAATAGTCACTTTATCTTGTTTCCTATATAAGACAAAGGCCATGTAAATTGTCTATATTTCAGTAAATATGAAATCTAGACGTCTCAGCTGTATTGTAACTAAAACAATTTCCTCTATTTTTTATATTTTCATTCTCTTATGAACTACTTATCCTAGCATAATGTTTTTTGTGTACCTAACACTTGTCCTGACACTTACTATTATTAAAAGAAAACACAATTCTAATGTATGTATCCTGATTCTGGAATCTAGAACATTAAAATAAAATTTCCCACCTTGTTAGTTTATTTGATTTAAATGGAAAGTGATTTTAATTTAAGTCTAATGAAAATATCTAATAACAGTTGAATATTTTGTTTTGATGAAACTTTATGACAATTTTCTGTCTATTTTTACCTTGTAATTCACAGAAGAAAGAATCATTGGGGTGCCAAATACAAGCTATATGGATGAAATACTGTTAAAGAACTTACCACGTGCTGTGGGAATCATCTTTAGTGATACTTTCTCTTACAAGTTAAAATTTTTTCAAGGACATGCAATTCCATTTTTGAGGGAAGATTTATCAAGTGAGTTTTCATATAAAATCTCATGGCATGAAATTTAATGTTTTTAACTAAAGGAATAGGTAGTGATAGGGAACAGAGATTCTTTCAATGGCATCTGAGAAAACAGAATGACATTTTATTGTTGAACTTATTCCAGACCTAAAAGTATATTCCCACTAGAGGTTTACCACCCAAGATTCTTGAATAACAACATATGTCTACTGAGGTCTCAGGTGTGTGTTTCAAAGGATGCAGGGGTGATCAAGACTGAGTTCCCAACACCAGGTGAGAGTCCAGTGGAGTAGGAAAGACAGACATTAAATAATTAATGGAAAGTCCAAAGAAACACTCTTGTGAAGACTTAGACCAGGAGGATGTCAGATGTGAGAAGCTAGTGGCATTGTGTTTCAGATAGAAGAAACACAAATGTGAAGAACCCGAGGTGAGAAAAGCAACTATGGAAGAAACACATGGAAAGGAATGTAAAGGGAAAATGATGCTAAAGCTACTCGGGCTGGATCCTGTAAACCTAGGGTACTGGATAGCCAGTGATGCACTTTCATCAAGGCAAAATATGTGAGCTCTCTTGATTTAGCCCAAAGAAGGTACTGCAGATGCTTTGTGAAGAATGTAGCAAAACTTCCCAGTGAGTTGATGGTGGCTCAGATGATAAGGGACGCAGCTGAAAGGAAGAGAGGCTGATGGGTTAGAAGATCTCTTAGGGAACAGAACTGATATGACTAGTAGAATCATTTCTTTCCCATTCATTCACTGAGTGTTAACATGCTCTGTACTGTTCTTGGTCCTGAGGACCGAGGTTAACAAAACACAGAGCTTATTATACATGCAACAAAGTAAGATAAATCAAGGTTAAAAGATAAACTGTAAAGCAGTGATTTTAGATATTTTATTTATTGTGATCATTAAAGACTAATGTGATAGTTACTTTTGAGTGGAGATCCAGATGAAGGGAAAGAGTGAACCCCACATTCATTTATAAGGAGAGCATTCAGGAGCAAAGAATGTGCTGGAATGTGTTTGGCATTCTGAGACAAGGCATGGAATCTAGTATTGCTGAAGCAGAGTGTTCACTTTCATCTTCTTTTTATTTCCTGACACTGAGTTGTTTTCCCTTAGATTCTTGTTTCTTATTCTCCAACTGCCCTCCTCTCATAATGGCAGGAATGCTTTTCTTTGTGCTTACAGCTCATTGCTTGATGACAGGTGATGATTTTTTATGCGCATTGTCCTCGTATTGGAGTAGAGGATTTGTGACTTTACAAACTGCCATTAATGCTGCTATAATAGAAGTAAGTCTTCATCTGAAAATTTGTAATGTAGCTTTGGATTGGTTTAATATAGTGTAATGTAAACTAACTCCAGCAGCACCAAGGTTTTGATGAAAGATGACTGTCTTACTTCATTTGTGCTGCTGTAACCAAACATCTGAGACTGGTTAATTCATAAAGAGCAAGAATTTGTTTTTCATAGTTCTGGAGGCTGGGGAGTATAAGATCAAGGTACTGACAGGTTTAGTGCTAGGTGATGGTCCATTCCTGACAGGTATCACCATCTAAATGTCTTCATAGGGCAGAAGAACGGAAGAGCTAAAAGGCTCTCAGCTAGTTCTGTCCAGCCCTTTGACAGGACACTAATCTCTTTCCTCATTATCTAATTGCTTTCCAAAGGCCCCACCTCTAATGTCAACACAGTGGGGATGAAATTTCAACATAAATTTTAGAGGGGACGCATTCAAACCACAGCAATGACATACATTCAAGTTTTCACGCTTATATAACGAAAGAAGTATTTAGACGAGGGGGCCACTGATTATTTTTAAACTTTCAATTTAGAAGTGGTTCAGAAATACAGGAAGTTACAAAAGCAGTGTACAGGGAGGGTGGTATATCCTTTACCCAGTGCTCTCCGATGCTAAAAATCTTGCATGGCTATAGTACAATATTAAAACTAAGAAACTGACATCACTAAATCCTCAAGACTTACTCAAATTTCACCAGTGACTATTATTTCAATGATTTATGTTTGTTTAAATTCTTAGATTACAACAAATCACTCTGTGATGGAGGAGCTGATGTCAGTCACTGCTATAAATATGAAGACATTACCTTTTATTTCTAGAGATATTCTTCAAAATGAGATCTTTATTTTATTCTGCTTGATTTACTTCTCCTCATTTATATATTTTGTATCACTTGATGTTACAAAAGAGAGAAAAAAGTATAAAGATTTGATGAAAATGATGGGTCTACGAGATTCAGCATTCTGGTGAGTGAGTAACTCAAGTGGTGCAAACTGATAAACAGAAACTATGAAGCCGTGGAAAAATGTTATTCTTTCTGAACATCATGGTTTAAATTTGATATACTGGGTGTTTTTCCTTTGTTCTGAATTGTTGATTTACTCTTTGTTAAAATTTGCCATGAAAAATGGTGGTTACAATTTACTGGGCACTTTTCCTGTGCCATTAATACCCTAAACTAAGCCTGGGATAGAGACACTACCATCCAATTTGTAAACAAGGAAAGTGAAAGTGAAAGAGAATCAGAGCACCAGAGGTGGGACTTTAGCCAAGGTGTTCCGACTGCAGCTCTTCTGCTTGATCTGCCTGCAGTTATCAGCTGATTTGTCCAAGCTTCCTCAGGTTGAAGAAAGTTTAAAAATAGCTATAGACTAGCATGTAGAAAGGGTTAATGAGAACCTTTGCTTCATGTATTAATATTTATGTCTTCCCTGTCCCACAAATGATTTACAGTGATTGTGAAATATGTGTATATGTATATATCTTTCTGTGTTTGTATCAATACAAATAACTGCATAGAAACAAAGCAAAATAATAAATAGGTGAGATTAGTAAACAGAAAAGAAAATCATATGAGCTCTAAACTCCCAAGAAGACAGAGAATTTTATAAGATTATCAGTGACAGAATGTGTATTTCCTAGGAAAAAGGAAAATAATCTGTTTATTTTACACCAAAAGAGTGTATTTAAAAAATATTGAATTGGGCCAGGGATTTAGCTCAATGGTTTCTCCCAGTGCTGCGCAAGCGCAAGGACCTGAGTTCAATCCCCGGTACCAAAAAAAAAAAAAAAAAAATTGAATCGAGGGGGATAATTCTCCATGTATTTCTCACATCAAGAAGATATTTGTGCATGTGGAACTATCTCAAATAGATACATAATTATTTATTGAATAATCTTTTGCAAGCTACATATTCCCCGAAATAATATTATGATCTAAGAAATCTTTCCTATTCTGTAAAATATATTTTGCCGAGAGAATTTTAATTTGTATGAATTGTGAAATAGAAAAAGAAGAAGTCATGTTTTAAAATTTAAAAGGAAGGATTTTTTTTTTTTTTTTGCACTGGGACATGGAGAAATACAAAGGAATGAATTTATTGCCACCCATGAAATCTGTTAGATGGGAACACAGAGGGAATCATTGGAGAAGGGCTTCTTTCAGTCCAGGACGGGTTCCGTGGGACAGAATGCTTGCAATCACTCAGAGAGTCTCCAGTCAATCTCATATTAAAATTTTTAAAATGTTCCTTTGAGCTGATTCATTCTCAGGATGATTCTTATATACATGTACCCTAAAACTTAGCAAAATGAATTTATGTATACATCGTTATAACTATAAAAAAAGAATTTTGAAACAGTTCCATAAAGTGCTGTGTATCTATTGAAAATACATCTCATTACTTTTTCTTGCTAATGTCATAAATGTGAAATGTAATCAGTATTTATTTTTTAAATACTATGTCTGAATTACTTTGTTTTTAGCCAGAAGTTTTTATAGGTTTATTAACATCTCTCAGCTCCACCCTGCAACTGGTTCCTTTTTCTAGGTAATGTTTAATCTTTTTCCCTGGTAATCCTCCTATACTGTGTATTTTCAATTCCTACCTAAAGTAGTTCCCTTCTGTATTCAGAAAGTGAATTCTGCAGAATGTGTTATGCTTTTCAAATCTGATATTTCTACTACAGGCTGAAATTTTGTAATAACAAGAAAATTAAAAATAAGTCAACTAACCAGCAAATGCAGCATAAACGTTCTACTGGGACATACTGATACAAAGTCCTGGTGTTAATACTTTTGCTGTATTTTTTTGGCTGTTGAATTCATATTTAATTATGAAATTTTAAACAGACAAGAGACTGTAGAGAGAGCAAAGGCCTCTAGCTTCATCTGTTCCTTGTTGCTGATTTATTTTTTGACTTTGAATAACCCTATTAACTAATAGGGATTTACATTCAATTTTCTTATTTGTAAAAAAAAATTTGGACTAATGCGCCCTACAGTCTTATTAGAGCTAAGATTAAATACTAATTCTTCTTAAGTAGTTTCTAAAAGTGTGAACATGAACATATCTAAAGGAAAGCAGTGTGAATATGCAAAGGCATGCCATAGTTTATATCAGTTTAGGAAATCATGAGGAAGAATAGGAAGAATGGAATGGGCTTAGAGGAATTATGAAATTTCCAATTTTATCCTACTACTGCATCCACGCAGAGATCCTCAAGAATGATCAAATTATCATGTGCCCCTGATGGTTGTAGAATTACTTGGTTGACCAGTAGCTGTTAAGTATCATTCTATCACTAAGACAATTTGGAAATATCAACTAAAGCAGAAGATACAGTCTTTAATTCATCAATATCACCTTACAGATATTCTTGTGCATTACTTCAAAAAAAGCCAAATATGAGAAAGTTTTTGGCAACTGTCTTAGTTATTTTTCTCTCATTGCTGAGACAAAATATCCAACACTCAAAGTTTAAGGGGGAAAGGTTTATTTAGCTCACAGTTTTTTGAGGTTTCAGTCCGTAATTGGCTGGCTGCCAGGCAGGGTGGCATGGCAGACAGGAATCACAGAGGAGAAACAGTTCATGGCAGACAGAAGGTGGCAAAACAACAAGGGACCACAGCTCTTTCTATCCCTTATACCCTATCCAGGCTACTTAGGATGAGTAACACACCCTTAATACTAGTGCTCTTAATCCCAGCCCTGCACCATGAATCAATCCCAGCATCACACACTCTAGATCCAGCCACCCCTTGAAAGAGCCCCACCTACAACTACCTGCGGCTTTGGGGGTACATCTAGACACAAGCCATAACAGCAACACTGTAATGAGAAGACAAATTAGAAACAACCCAAATGTCCACGGGCAGAATACTAGGATATGTTCATACAATGAAATATTTATTATACAGCAGTGCATAATATTCTTAATGTTGATCAAGAAAGGCAAATTGCAGAAGAATACGTACAGTATGAGAGTTTAGACAGTGTTCATACTATTTATATAATATACACACACAGAGCTGAGGCCTAACTAATAGGTACCTACAGGGACATGCTGATGTTTGTAGTCATTTACTTGGTTGAAGCATCCTTTCCCATTGGTGGTTGCTTATGTTCAGTATCTATTATCTCTAGATGGTAAAGGCAATCCAAATAGGGATTATAAACAGTGTATTTAGAAAAGTGGTTACCTTAGTAGGAGGAAGGTGAATTATTATGGTCAGGTAAGGGGTGTATAGTGGGCTTCTTGCATTATAATTATCATGTTTATTAAGCTAGGTGGCAGATACAAGTGTAATATTATTTGTTAGATGCTTTTTCATCATTAAAATATTTCTTAATAAAGTGAAAATAATTTACATAATTTCTTCTTTATTTAGGTTCTCCTGGGGTTTAATTTATGCTAGCTTCATCTTCATTATTTCCATATTCATTACAATTATCATAACATGCAACAAAATTATAGTCATGACTGGCTTCATGGTCATATTTACACTTTTTTTCTTATATGGCTTATCTTTGGTAAGCTCATACATTAATTACTACTTTTTCCAATTTAGGTCTTAGCTGTATGTAACAAATATTAATGCCTCAGTAGGTTAGTACCAAGTACTATCACTCCTTTCATGGTGTGTGTATGTGTGTGTGTGTTTGCTCGATAAAATCTCTGTGGATGTGAGAAAATGATGTAAGCCCATGTGAAATTGGATCTCTCTTTTGTGCAAAGGTCTAAATTAATCAAACGATGCATCAAAAATAAAGATGAGTTTGAATTTAAAACTACTTAAGACTTTTCTAGATGATTGTTGAAAATTTTTTTGATATGTTTTTCCCTAAAGATCTCCATACAAAATATCTAATCTGCTCTCCTCTTCTTTCTCTAAACAAGGATCTCCAATGCTTTCTGCCCCGGTTATAGATGCCTTTCCTTAGTGCATTAATGTAGCTTCATTCAGTTTTTCCAAGTCTGCATTTCTACCCTATCCTCATATTTTCCTCCACCCCTTCCTTGGCAACAAAAACCCAGTATACAAGGAAGGCAGATAAAGATCCTCTTTCAGAGAAGGATTGAGAGCAGGGCAAAATCATTATACCTTAACAATTTCATCACTTTCTCACTGACAGTTATCTTTACAGTAAAAAGATGTTTATTTCATTGTGCCACCAGTGATTCTTAATGAAGTGAATACATTTAACAGCTAAAGTCTACTGTCTTTCAGATAACCTTAGCTTTCCTGATGAGTGTGTTGTTGCAGAAGGCTGCCCTCACCAACTTGATTGTGTTTCTCCTTACACTTTTTTGGGGGTGTGTGGGGTTCACTGCACTTTACAGACAACTTCCTTCATCCCTGGAGTGGATTTTGAGTATTTGTAGCCCCTTTGCCTTTACTGCTGGAATGACACAGGTAAAAAACAATTAATTTATTGTTGAACTTTTAAAAGACTTTGATACTTTATAAGCACTTTTTAAACTTTAAACCTAATTTGAAAATGTTTTTATTATTTTTCTGTAGAAAAGTTGTCATCTCATAAGTAAACTTAAATTATAAAATTTTCACCAATCAGCTGTATTTTCCTTCTGAGATATTTTTTCCTGTATACAAATATTTTCCCTTCACATAATGAAAGCATCCTGCTAGTTTATTAAAAATTGCTATGTAAACCTATTATGAAAACATTTAAAAATAAATTATCAATCAAATATGGACAACTTTTAAAATATGTAATACAGTTTAACAAATAATTATAAAGCAAATCAAAGTACCCATGAACTAGATTAAGAGATAGAATGGTACTAAACATTCCATCCTCTGAAAGTGTTTTATGATAATCATTTCTTGTTTTTCTTATACCCATGTTTGTGTTTCAGAATATAATTTTCTAGTTTTGCTTATTTTGACCTTTATATGAATTATGTTGTATAAAATATATTTTGAAAATTTGGCTTTTTCATTTAACATTATATTTTTAGGTATCATTCATAGTTTTGTGTGTAACTTTAGTGCAGTGTTGTATAATATTCTATTGTATGAATATACTATCAGTTTTCCTATGATAGATAAATGACATTAGTTTCCAGTCTTGAAATTTCATTTGATTGATTGATTGATTGAAGTGCTAGTAGTTGAATCCAGGGCCTCATATGCTTGGCAAGAGCTCCACCACTGACTGGGCTATACCCCAGCCATAATTTTTGATGATTTTTAACACAGCTACTACAAATATTCTTGTACATGTTTCCTAGTGTGCCAGTTTTCTTTGGTCTTTATCTACGAGTTGAGTAGTGGGTCCTACAGTACATAAACATTAATCTTAGAAGCTGCATCAAATTTTTTTTCAAATTCTGTCAACTTACATTTGTGCCAGTGTTTTAGTGATCCAGTTTTTCTAAATCTTCACTAACATTTCGTATTGTCAATTTTTGAAACTGTATCCATTCTGATAGATTTGTAGGGATTTATTCTTGTGATTATTAATATCCTTTTTCTAATTATTGAAAAAGCTGTGTACCTTTTCATGTTTAGTGGTTATTTAAATTTTTCCTTTTTGTAAATTGTGTATCCAGGGCTTTGCTTATTTTTCTACTGAGTTTTCTTTATTGCTTTGTAGGAATTCATTATACACTGTTGGATATCAGATATTTTTCAGTTATTTGTTTGTAGGGTTTTAAATTTATTAATGGTATTTTTATAAACAAAGGTTCTTAATTTTGATAAAATCTAGTTTATCAAGTTTTCCTTTTCTGTAAAATGCTTTTGAATCAATTTGAGAAGTCAAAAGATATTTTGCTTTATTTTTCTTTTTTTTTTTCTGGTACTGAGGATTGAGCGCAGGGCCTTAGCACTGAAATATATCAACAACCCTTTTGAAAATTTTTATTTTTATTTTTTATTTTTTTGGTGTTGGAGATCAAACATGGGACCTTGCACTTGCAAGCCAGGTGGCAGAACCACTGAGCTAAATCCCTGGCCTAAAATTTTTATTTTGATACAGGGTCTTGCTAAGTCATTAAATTGCCCAGGCTGGGTTTGAATTTGCAGTCCTCCTGCCTCAGCCTCCCAGAGTGCTGGAATTACAGGCTTGTGCCACCACACCCAGCTTTACTCTAGAATCTTAATTGATTCAGCTTTTACATATAGATATAAAATCTATTTCAAAGTAACTTTTGTGTGTATAGGTTGAGGCAGTATTAATTTTGTACATAAATTTCCCACTCTTCAGCTCTGTTTATTGAAAAGAACATCCTTTCCTCAAATAAATTGCAGTGTTTCCTTTGTCATAATTCAACCAATCATGTATTGGCCCATATGCTTGTCATCATTTATTGCTACACTGTCTTAATTTGCTTTGTAACATGTCTTTATGTCTGGTATTCACAGTTTTATTATTTTATTTTCTTTTTCAAAAGAAATTTATTCTAGTTTCTTTGAGATGCTGTAAATTTTAGGATTAGATTATCAACTCACACACATACATGTGCAAAGCTGTTAAGATTTGGATGCAATTAAAGGTTTCATTAATTTTTAGGAAATCTGACAGTTCTGGTGGCATGAATATAATATATCTTTGCATTGATTTAGATCCTCTTTGATTTCCCTTAATAATTATTTTAGTTTTCAGTGTAGTGGTTTTGCATATTTTATTTGTTTTGTTGTTTTGTTTTGTTTTTATGCTGGCGTTTGAACCTACAGCCTGGCCCATGCTAGGCACACACTCTACCAGTATGTTTAGTAAGAAACCGGCCTTAGGAGCAAGACTCATTAGGTTCTGATGTCACCTCATTATGTGAATTTGACTTTGACTGGTTAACCTTCTCCACTTTGTGTTTTATCATATGTAAAATGCAGATAAACATAGGAAGGCTTACCTCATAGAGTTATGATGAAGACTAAATAAGAAAATATTTTTTAAAACACTTAGAATAGTGCCTGGAACCTAATAGCTACCATAAATAAAAATCTTTATTTACAATAATAAAACTAAAAGATGTAAATTCTCATCATTATTCTAATTAGATACTTTAAATTTTTAGATTCTTTAAACATTTGCATATCATTTGTTACATTGAATAGATATTTTGTGATATTCCAATGACTTGATGAAAGCAAGCAAATTAATTTTAATTTAAATTCTAGACTTTACATACTGTATTTTTAAAAACCAGGCTTCCTTTGATATTCTTTTGGTCACTATATAATAGAAATATTTTAACTAATAGCTTTGTTTACTTACATGTTTGCTAGATAACTTGTAAAGGTCTCTTGAAAAAGCTAGTTAGTAAACTAATAACTCTCAATGCTATGCCAAAGTACGTATTTGCTAATTTATACTTTTATTATTTTTGCTTAACTCTTAGATTATCCACCTGGATTATAACTTGAATGGTGTAGTTTTTCCTGACCCTTCAGGAGACTCATATATAATGATAGCAATATTTGCCATGTTGGCTTTTGATTGTCTTATCTACTTGGTATTGGCGTTATACTTTGACAAAATCTTACCCTGTAAGTAGTAGTATATTTTTCTCTGACCTCTATAGTTATTGATTACATTGAATAGTTTTTCTTAACATTATATAAATATATTTTTAGAAGTGAAAATCAATATTTTTTGATCTTGGTCCAAATGAATTCTCTTTTTCTACTTCATAGATTTAATAGTTCAAAGAAGTTTCCTTGTAAAAACAATTATTCTTCTGACTTCATATGGTAGTATATTATAATTGTATGATAATACTAATTATAAAACAGTTATATAATAATTAAATAATGTTACTTTTACAAGTATCCTTGAAAGGCTTTGGAATGAGTAATACTTAGGATATGTATCAGAATAAGCTGGAAGAAACTAGCTCTTGCTATAGTTTGACTAGTACAGGGCCATTGCACAAGGGACATGTTCTCTAATAAATATTTGTTCAGCATTATTCTCAGCATTTTTCATATTTACAGAAGTACATTATTTATATGGTTAAATTTTCTTTATTCCACAACCAAATTTTACATAAACCCAAAATTTCTTCACACATAGTAGAATCAGAATGCTTTTGTCTATGCATGATCTTATTTATTTTCTTATTTTTATTTTATATATTTCCTCCATTTTAACTGTAGTTAAGTTTGTCTTCTATGTTTATATGTATTTTTGGTATATATTCCTGTTTATATCTCTAGTTTATATTTGAGGGTCATTAGTACTACTTCATATTTTTTAATTGGGAAAAAATTTAAAATGTAACCATATTTATCCAGAGAAGTATAATTTATTATTTTTATTATTTTATTAGTGTGCTTCTATGTCAATATATAGATTTTAATATTATATTCAACTGTATTGCTCTGGTTAGATTATTTAAGTTCCCAAACATGTCTACAATTATTTTCACGTGCCATATTAAGGCTTTGTGTTTTCCCAAATGTTTGATTTCTTCCATTCTTCTAAATATCTTTTAAATCATTTTTTTATTCAATAAGTTTATTGGTATATTTTGGGTATGCAATATGATGACATTCATCATTGGGAATTTGTACCTTTACATGATGTATCTTGGTTCTTATTTCTTTTCTCATTCTCCTACCCTCTCTTCAAGCCCTCCACCCCTCTCTACTTACAAAGATGTTATTTCTAGTTTTTCCTTTTCTCATATACTTTCCTTTCCCTTCTTTCCTTTCTCCTACTCTCACCCCCCCAATTCCCTTTCCCTTCCCCGTTTGGACCTTTTCTTCCTGTTTCACATTATCTATTATACATTATGGTCCTCGTTTACACCCATTTGACCCAGCTATCCCCCTGCTGGGTATCTTCCCAAAAGAATTAAAACCATCATGTTATAGCAATATATGCCCACCCATGTTTATAGCACCACAGTTTGTAATAGCTAAAGCTTGGAAATAGCCCAAATGCCCATCAACTGATAACTGGATAAAGAAGGTGTGCTTTCTTTTATAAAATGGAGTACTACTCAGCCATAAAGAATGAGAAACTACAGACATTTATAGCTAAATGGATATACATTGAGGCCATACTCTTAAGTGAAATAAATAGGACATACATATGTAAATACCAAATAGTTTCTCTGGTTTGAGAAAATGAAAGTGTAGATCATGTTTTATTCAAACCTCTGATTTGTATTTTGTTGAAAACTCTATAATATTGTTTAATTTTGCATTGTTCTTTCATTTGAATTCTCATTGTTTATTTCATTAAGTTTTCTACTGAATAATGGGAAATAAGATGGAAAATAATTTTTCCACAACGTTTGAGAGTTCAAGACATTTGCACTATTCTGAACAGGCTTCTTTACTACTTGTATTAATATTACTGATCTGATATTATATTACCTCTTGATTAATTAGATGGGAATGAATGCCATTATTCTCCATTATTTTTCCTGAATTGGTCATCTTGTTTCCAACACCGAAAAACTGATAATGAGGTCTTTGAGAAAGATATAGATCCTGAACATCCCTTTGATGATTATTTTGAACCTATTGCTCCCGAGTTCCAAGGAAAAGAAGCCATCAGGTAATCACATTAATATTTATACTAACACATGATCACAAGGCTAAAGAATTGTTAACCTTCAGCAAGAGGGTGAGCCTGAGGCAGTACTGTGAACCCCAGAAACCTCTGCAGTAGACTCTAATCTCTTCCCTAGTGTACGATGCAGGCCTGAGGGGAAAAACTAAAGACAGGACTAAGAGTCAGAAAGCGAGGCACCAGGATGACCAATGCCGGTGCAATGGTCAAAAGCCCTGGACAGTCCAAGCCACTGATTTTTATTGGTAATAACTTGGGGTAAAGGCGAGCTATGTGCAAGGGTGGAACTATATTAAGGATGTGCAATCCTGTGGTTTCTATGGAAACCAGTGGAGACAAGGCCTGTAAAGGAAAAGACAAAGCATTCTCAAATTAAGAACAGAATATGGGCCGGGGATTTAGCTCAGTGGTTTTGCCGCCTGCTACGCAAGCGCAAAGACCCGAGTTTGATCCCCAGTACCAAGGTACCAAAAA